TACTACTACTACTACTACGGCTGCCAGAATCTCACGGGCCCAAGCACTCCTCAAAATCTCGAGGATCGCGCAGCCATCTGTCGTCGAAGGCCGGCTGCCGGCACAGGGCATCCATGGCCAACAGGGCGCCTACTGCTTCTGGATAATCTGAGAAAGCTGCGAAAACTGCTGTCAGTATTATCACAACTCTTCGTGCTGAAGTCTGCCCAACTTGCTAGAGTTACGTACTACTACGAAGTTGATGCTTTCGGTGGTCATCGGGACCAGTCTTCCGCTGCCCATAACTACTATATGGATCATATGCATGTATCGATGTGCGACTATCCAGTGCCGACTTGTCAATGCTCACCGGCAGGCAACCACCCCGTCAGATGGCGCAAGTCAACATGGGCTTTCCGCAATGTGGCAGGAAAGTTCGGCTATGGGGCTCGAGTCGATGCAGATCCGTTCTGGGTGTGCTGGCATCAAGTTCTGGACCATGTGGCCAGTTCCGGTCAGATTCAGATTCTGGGGCAGGGTACTTTCCATCCAGGATATGTCGCTTCTGCTGCGATGGGAGACTGGCAGAGCCAAACAGCATAGCATAGATTGATCTGTGCATATCCATGCAATATCACCTTGCACCTGGTTGTCCCAAACATTAAATCTAAAGAGCTCTCTGAGCGTCCAACTTTGGAACCCAAAAGCTGGAAGCCCAGGCCCGACGCGAGAGTAAGGGAAAACTGAATCAGTCGATGGTCAAACTTCACCGAAACAATACTGTAGGCGCTAGGCCCATGGTTGACGCACCTTACAAGTTACGCGGGTTTGTCTTAGATCAAGGCTTGGTTCTAGTTTCTCAGGGCTATGAGACTTGCAGGCCGGTCTCAAATCATCTGTGTACATATTATATTTATATGTATATATACCATAGAAGTATAGAATCATATTAACTGTGCAGACAAACATATATATATATATATATATATATACATACATACACACTACAAATTACAATGTCGTGATATGACATGGTATGATATGATAAGATATGAGATGATAAACATTACAGCACGTGAGTAGATACATGTCCTGGATGCATTCTGCTTCTGTGTGGGCTTGGTCACGCGTGGTGCTGACGTGGCAGACGCAAAGGTGGGAGGAATTTCATGTTACACAGAACTGTGCACGAAAACACTGCCAGGATCAGACGAAGTTCCTCCACGGTGCTCGAACCTCTGCTCAATAACAACCGTAGAGATCACAACATCGAATGATCACAACGGATCTCGAGGCAAAACTTCAGAGAACGGTGACCGTTATGTTTCCATGCAGCCCTTAAGCCCGGCCTCTTGCCACGGGTTCGGGCGCCCTGAGTTGCAGGTCAAGGATTCTTTCTCTCAAGAGGTGAGGGGGGGGGCAAATAACAATGTGCCACACGGGAGGTCGACGATGGAAGGAGCCGCTCCCTCGACAATCATTTCCAACACACTTTAAGCATAGGCTTGAACTAAGGACCTGCGTGGGCCGTACCGAATACGAAAACCGCTCAGTCGGTCGACTTCAACTGCATGGACACAAAACTATGTTGCAATAGCTGCAGCGACAAGCGGCGTTTATGGGAAAGCTAAAGCTTCAGTGTTGCTAGCTATGAGCGATCAACGATCAATGGATTCCAGACCGTCAAAGTTCTGTTCTGATGGGTCTCACCACGTTGTATTGCGGCTGTTTCATGGGAGACAGCATATCCACACCGTGGTGAATTTTGATGTTTCCTCTTCGGCGACGGCGCACCGTGAACTAGAGGCGTGATTCACATGCAAAGCCGAATGCACCAGTGGTGGATAGGGAGCATCTCGCAGAAATGCTCGGATGCAGCTGGGCGACACTTCACTGATGCTGCGAGCTTTGATGGGTAGGAGGAAGCCACCCCCACCTGAGGCATCTATTTGGGAATTCTGTTCCCAGACTTGAGCCTTGGCCTGGGGTTCGGTGCCTTCAAGGACTTCATCGATGCTACGACTTCATCGCTTGGCAGGTGATTTCTAGAGCACCACGGGCTCAAGACACAGACATCCCATCAACAAGTGTCAAACAACTCCCCTGCTTGGAGTTTGGAGAGTCTCAGGGCACATCAGGGCCAAGCCTGCCCTCGGTCTCTGCTAGTTTTGAAATAATGAAGGGTCCCACGGGCTTACTCGGAATCGAGACGGTGGCGCTTCATACTTAACCCCCGCCAGAAGCGTTAGCCAGCGAAGACTCCTAATTGGCACAATGTTGGGGCATTCCTCATGTTGTGCCAACATGAAGCTCTGAAGCCCGTATATACATGCCGCAACTCACCGTACAACAAATCAAGCTGATTCGTTGAAAACCCAAGTCAGTACTTCATTTCCCCCTCCCCCTCCCCCTCCCCCT